AACAAAAAACAAAACAAAAAAAAAAACACACACATAAAGACGTGTGCTGAAAATTGGAGATATTTCAGTCAAAGAAATACAGAAATATCTGGGAAATGTTTTAACAGATGGTGTAACATCGAAATCCGAACGCGCATTGGGATAGCAAAAGATGCCTTCCAAAAGCTAAGCAAATTATTAAGAAACATGAGAATTCAGTTACAAAGAAAGAAAACAGTGTTGGACTGCTATGTAATATCAGTTCTCCTATATGCCAGTGAAGGCTAGATGAATAAGATGTCATCCAAAAGCTAAACAAAGTATTAAGAAACAGGAAAATTCCGTCAGAAACAAAGAAAAAAGGCAGGACTACTATTTAATATCAGTTCTCCTATATTCCAGTTTCTGCTAGATGAATAAAATGTCTTACAAAAGCTAAGCAAAGTATTAAGAAACAGGAAAATTCCGTCAGAAACAAAGAAAAGAGTGCTGGACTGCTATTTAATATCAGTTCTCATATAGGTCAGTGAAAGGCTAGATGAATAAGATGCCTTCGAAAAGCTAAGCAAAGTATTAAGAAATAGGAAAATTCCGTCAGAAATAAAGAAAAAAGTACTGACAGTAAACATAGCAGTGAATGCTGAACAATTTCATCTTAGATTAAGAGAACCCTTGAAGCAAAAGAGATGTACTTCTACTGAAGGGTGTCGAGAACCCTTGAAGCAAAAGAGATGTACTTCTACTGAAGGGTGTCGAGAACCCTTGAAGCAAAAGAGATGTACTTCTACTGAAGGGTGTCGAGAACCCTTGAAGCAAAAAAGAGATGTGCTTCTACTGAAGGGTGTCGAGAACCCTTGAAGCAAAAGAGATGTACTTCTACTGAAGGTGTCGAGAACCCTTGAAGCAAAAGATGTATGTACTGAAGGGTGTCGAGAACCCTTGAAGCAAAAGAGATGTACTTCTACTGAAGGGTGTCGAGAACCCTTGAAGCAAAAGAGATGTACTTCTACTGAAGGGTGTCGAGAACCCTTGAAGCAAAAGAGATGTACTTCTACTGAAGGGTGTCGAGAACCCTTGAAGCAAAAGAGAAGGGTGTCGAGAACCCTTGAAGCAAAAGAGATGTACTTCTACTTAAGGGTGTCGAGAACCCTTGAAGCAAAAGAGATGTACTTCTACTGAAGGGTGTCGAGAACCCTTGAAGCAAAAGAGATGTACTTCTACTTAAGGGTGTCGAGAACCCTTGAAGCAAAAGAGATGTACTTCTACTGAAGGGTGTCGAGAAAACCATGGAAAAAGCATGTAAGCAACGAAGAAGTTTTAAAGAAAAGAGAAACAAAAAAGTCACATATACGTAGAATCATAAAGACGTTGTTGGATTTTCTAGGTCACATAATGAAGGCTGGGAAAATTTGACTCTCACAAGGCATATCAAAAGGAGGGAGGGAAACAACGAGTAATCTAAATAACGAGCTTGTAAAAGGAAAACAGAGATCCCACGTTAAACCGGCCTTGTGCCACATGATGCCCTCGGGGTGGGGGGCTAAATACCGTTCAGCCTGAAGTCTGGAGTGAGGTCCGTCAGGAGTCCGCCAGTCAGTCAGAGCGAGCGAGTCAGTCAGTCGAGTCAGAGGCAGTTCGAAACAGAGTCGCGTTCAGACAATTACTACTAAACCTGATTGTTCGTACTAACACTTTCTAATATATCTGTGTTCGATTTCTTCTTTATTGGTTCTACCCTGGACTATCACCGTGGTACAAGGAACCGGACCATAACAGACATATAGAAGAATAAGTAACACATTGGCAAAGGATTAGCGATACAAAGGAAATGTGGATATATCTAAAGGGTATATCACAGACTTTGTCTCTATTACAACTGTAAAGCAATGACCAAAGAGAAATTTGAACCCTATGTGTAAATACTTGAACTGTATACGACTTTGAGATGAGATTTCTTTTTTTTACTTTTCCTCAAGGAATTATTCTTGATTTACTCTAACTTCAGGTATCTTTATACCAAAAATTCAAACACAAACTCAAATTTAAAATGTCCTCTTCTTCAGCAAATGCGTAGGCGGCGTGGTAATTATTGGCACGGAAAATGAAATTGGCGAGCCGCGTTCAAATACCGGACTAGTATTCTACGTTTATTTTCGAACTAAAACCCTTGGGAAAATAGATGAATATATCTTGTCTCCTCCTCCCCGCTATGGGTTAAATAGTAGCGTAGACTGGTTCTCTAGCTTTGAGTGGAAACCAGTCTTGAAGAAAAAAAAACTTCTGAATACAAAATGTATCGAATGCAAAGAGAAACCACTCTGCTATCTTTCCAAAATGTCATGTCAGTTCCCAGAAAAAAAAAGGATTCTAATAAAAGGATTCTGTGGAGGACCATGATTGCCTACCTCTTGAAGAGGCATGTTATTAAAATAAATGTTATTAATAAACTGCCTTTTGTCGTTATTGGGTGTAAAAATAGGTGTAGTTCTCGAATGTTATTGAAATTAGAGGACGAATATGTCAAGTAGGATTTTTATAAAAATGTACGTATTAACCATCTGAGCTACAACTGTATAGGATGGGTAACGGTTTATCACGTATCTTGCACCCATTATAAACACTCCTAAATATTTCTTGGACAAAGCCAATTTTCACTCAGAGCTGGATTCATGGGCCACCCGGTGCGGAACATACTCATTCACTGTGGTGAGCACAACTATCCGGCCAGCCATCATAATTTTCTAGCACACCTATAATAAAAGGCTTGATTTCAAACGTGGCGCAAGAGCCCTACCCTCTCGTCTTATATACTTGTAAAATCTGCGATGACGATGCGGTTCAAATGAGTTCATAATTACAAACCCGTCTGACAACGCACCCTATCCCAATGATGTAAGTCATCGTCTTTCTTTCTTTCTTTCTTTCTTTTAAATGATTCTAATCTGGAGCCAACGACTTGTTTCGCTGTGACATCATCATCTGCATTAATTTCGAACGTGGCGCAGGAGCCCTATCCACTCGTCATCAGGAAGAGGCCGTTGAAATTTCTAGGACATATAATGAGGATGGAAGGCTCGGAAAATTTGACCCTCAAAGGAAATATCGAAGGAAAGTGGGACAAAGGAAAATATCGGGTAACCTAAGTAACGAATTTGTATAAATGGATACCAGAGAGATAGTAAAAAGACAAACATTGCTAAGAGCAACAAAGGATGAGAAATCGTGGAGAGCCATGATCACACACGTCCTGAAGAATATTTGGCCGAGCATGCACATCTAGTAATGACCCAGTGGATCCAAAAGTAAGTTGTAGTTAATCAGGATTCATGATAGTCCTGGGTCAGTTCGTGCAGAAAAGTCATACACTCTGGTTCAGGGGAAGAAACGAGCAAACGACCAAAGGGGAATAAACTGGAGATTATTAAATGATAGGAGAAAGCATGTAAAGCTGAATGAGAAATACCACCCGGATATTTGAATAAAGTGTTTTGTCCAAAATTCAAAATCGATTCAGACCCATGAAGCAGCTTGCAGGTTAGAATGGCTGAAATATAGATTATATAATCTATAGTGATATAGAGATTATTAACTGATAGGAGCAAGCATATAAAGCAGAATTGGGAATATCTCCCGGGTATTTGAATAAAGTGTTTTATTCAAAATTCCAAATACAGCAGACATATGAAGCAGTTTGCAGTGTATAAAGGCTGAAATATAGATTACATAATAAATACTTATCTAGATATTATTAATTGATAGGAATAAGCATGTAAAGCTGAATGAGGAATAACATCTGGATACTGGAATAAAGTGTTTTGTCCAATATTCCAAGTACAAGAGACACATGAACCGTTTGGAGTGTAGAATGGCTGAAATATAGATTACATAATAAATACTTATATAGAGATTATTAACTGATAGGAATAAGTATGTAAAGCTGAATGAGAAATACCACCCGGATATTTGAATAAAGTGTTTTGACCAAAATTCCAAATACAGGAGACACCTTAAGCAGCTTGCAGGGCAGAATGGCTTAAATATAGATTATATAATCTATACTTATATAGAGATTTTCAACTGATAGGAGTAAGCATGTAAATCCGAATGAGAAATAACTCTCGGTTATTTAAATAAAGTATTTTGTCCAAAATTCCAAATATAGCAGACACATGAAACACCTTGGAGGGCAGAATGACTGAAATATAAATATTATAGTAACCAACATGATCATGATGCTCCGAATAGTAAATTATATAGCAACAAGAATTCTTCACTTCAAAAATTTAAATCTAAGCTAGGAATACCGATGTCATTGAACTGAGAGGCTGAACTGTATCTTTCACAGGCGTCATTATTCGTGAGGTTTCCATTAAAAGTTTAAGAGGATATTTTTTTTCATTTTTGCGGCCTGCCGCGGAAAATCGTAAATGAGAGACGCAGACGAGAAAATGTAAAGAAAACTAAAATATAAAAATAACTGCTGAGCAAATCTGAAACGGTTAAAATGAGTGTTCAGTTATCCTTAAATAAAACTTGAAGAAGTGGAGACATATTGAATTTAACATTCAGAAAGTAACAAGTGCTAAATTTCCTTCTGGAAATGGAAATTTTCAGATACTTAAAAATTGCCCTTTTAAAATTTTAATCTTTTTCTTCTTGCTAATTAAAATTCAACGTTACCAGATCTTCATTCTTTAAGTTTTTTATCGTTGAGAACTATTTATGTTTAATGAGAAATTTTATTGATTGTTAATTGATTCGTTTTTTTTGTTTTTTTTTACAGCTTATCAACTCTTTGCAGGTTATTAAAAGCAAGACAGTATTTTTAGATTGTAAGAATTATTCTTTTGGAGATAATAATGATTTAGTGATACAAGTCTTACTAATTAACCCATACCTGGGGAAGAAGAGGTGGATTCACACTTTCCCAAGACTATTTGCACGTAAGTGAATATAACGAACCCAACGGGAATTGGAACTCAGTTCTCTAATTAACAACTCTGAGACATTATACGTTCCAACACAGCACCTGGTATTCCCATGCGGTCACCCATCTTGGTACTGACCAGACGCGACTTTACTTAACTTCGGTGGTCATACGGAGGCCGGTGTTTCAACAGGATATAGCCGTAAGCATTTTCGAATTTCTAAGAGTAATTATGCCATCTTTTTCTTCTTGATAGTTAAATTCAACGTTACCGCTTCTTCATGCCATACCGTTTTTGTTCCATTGAAAAATTGTTCATGTTTATATGTCTTTGGAAATAAAGAAAAGAGTGTTGAAATGCTTTGTAATATCAATCTGCCTCTGTGACAAAGAATACTAGACAATTCCTTCACAGGTGGACAGGAGAAAACAGAAATGGAGTTCTACAGAAGGATGCTGAGAATAACATCGACAGAATAGGCAAGCAACGAAAAAATTTTAAGAAAAATGTAAAAGAAAAGACACTAGTATGGATCTTTGCGTAGTGGCAGACAATCCTTCACATAAGAACCCCTTTAGCATATTTATATATCTACCATTCGTCCGTGTGTTGAATGTTCCTGCTATATCGGATCTGGTGATCCTACTACTTATCTCGAAATTCTTTACAAAATTCAAAGAAGGTTGTGAAATGTAATCGATCCCGACCTGACATCTCTACTGCAGTCACTATCACACCGTCATGACGTGGTTTCCCTTTGCCTTTTCTACAAAAATGTTTATGAAATTGTGCTGTAAAGCTGTCTAATAAGTGCCTCGTCTGCACGAATTTAAACGTGCTACTAGATTGGCAACTAGTTATTGTTGTTCATGATGACGGTCGTCTTCGAGTATAGAATCCAGAGGTTAGCAGTGAATATTTCGAAGACAGTAGGAAAGTGTTGTTCAGGTTAGCAGTGGATATTTTGATAAAAGTAGCAGAGCGTAGTTCGTCCTTCTGTTATCTCTTCCCCTGACAAGCTGGACTGGACATTCGGGTAGAGTAAACAAAATGGCCGCCTTTATACACGACGGATTGAATATTCTACGTCTTCTGATTGGTTAACCTTCTATTGGTGGACTATAAAGTGAGTCAAGTCATTTGGGCTAGCTCACTAGTAAATACATATACACAAAAAACTGCAACAGTTATCACCGTTTTACTGTTGAACTAGCTAGTTCAGTTCTTTTCTAATAGTTTCTTTTCTCGCGCTTCTCGCCTGCGGAATTCCTTTCCGATTTCTTGCTTCCCTGATAACTACAGTCTTAAAAAAATTAAATGCAACGTCAATTGCCATCTTCTGTCTTCCTAAATATTGTTCGTTTATTCATCTTTTTATCACTTCTTCTCACGAAAGTCTTCTCATGCACTTTCACTCTCTCTAATCTCCTGCGTCTTAGTAGAATTATTGCCTTACTTGGGGTGAAACGATGAAAAAAAACATAGAATCAGAAAGGGAGTTGAAATTTCTGAGGTACATAACAAGGATTAGAGGGCTTGGAGAATTTGACACACACAAGGACATACAAAAGCCAAGAGAGCTCGAGGGAAGCATCGGGTAACGTACCAAATGAGCTTATGTAAATGAATGGCAGAACACGGACTGCGAGAGATAATAAGCGGACAAACATTACTTAGAGTGATAAAGGATAGGAAGGTGTGGAGAGCCTTGATCGCCCATGAACTGAAGTAGCACGGTACATGAAAGAAGATTTAATACAGTAATTAGTTTTTAATTAATCACTGGATGTTACAGTGTTGAATTTAAATTTTGACATATCGATCATGGTGGGATAAACTTTTTTAAATGTAAGCACCAATTTAAAAGAGCCTAGCTCTGTTTCCATATAACGAAAAACAATTTTAAATGTAACCACCAATTTCAAAAAGCCAAGCTGTTTTCATATAACGAAAAACATTGTTGTATGAGATTTTTCAATTCCTTTTTTATCATAAAAGTGCGTGAAATATTACCAATAGCATTCTTCTTCCATGTACCGTGTCCGTACAAGATGTTTGCAATCATGGCTCACCACAACTTCCTGTCCTCTTTTAGCTCTTAATAAATTTTGTCCTTTTGTTATCTCTCCTAAACCATGTTCCACTATCCGTTTATTCAAGTTCGCTAATTAGGTTATGCGTTGTTTTCCTCTGTTCATCTTGCATGCGAGTATCAAATTTTCTAAGCCCTCTTTCCTCTTTAGGTGACCTAGAAATTTCAACTGTCTCTTGACCTGATGTTAAGCATAAGTATCTTTTTCATTTTAATTTTTCTAAAACTTCAGTGCTTTCTTGTTCAGTCCAAAGTCTTCTCTTTATCCTTCCATAGAACCAAACTTCTGTTGCCTCAAGTCTCTTCTTCATTCGTGAGAAGATTGTAAAACATTCACTAAAATATACAGTTCAGTATTTTTTCCTTTGTGTCTAACGAAATTTTCCTCTTTAATAATACTTTGCATAGCCTCTTTTTCATCTGTGAGGAGATTGACCAGCATTTACTGCCGTATAGGAAAACTGATATTACGTAAGAGTTTAATACGCCTTTCTTTGTTTCTGGAGAAATTCATATTTTTTTTCACTTTCACGAGCATACTAAGCACGTATGTGGAGATATTAAACTATGGTAAATGCACTCGTGTTATTTAAAAACATTTTTTAGGGATTGGTCTTAGAAAATGTAAGCGTAAAACAAATAAAATCACCAATTTCGAAGAGGTTGGGAAGGGATGAAACACATTACAGAATTTTACGTTACTCTATCTCTACGCAAATGAAAGGTTACTTGCTGGGACAAACAAGATGGCGACTCACAAAGGAATCAGTGATATATACGACGTACCCGAGAGATTTCTCCTTTGGCAAGATTGGATGATGCTAGAATAATATATATATATATATATATATATATATATATATAATAAAAAGGCTTAAACACTAATATTCCGTGGTTATAATTTATTACATTGGAATCGTAAATACGATCCAATTCATCAGACCTTTCTGAATTTGTAGGTCTGATGAATTGGATCGTATTTTAAACCTTTTAATTATATTCTTACTCTGTCCTGGACATTGCGTTCTACCTGGATTCTATCCTCTTGGAATTTTTTATATATATTTGTATAACATTTACCGGTAAATGTTATTTAATACTGTTTATTATAAACAGAGCATTTACTTAAATATTTGTATCTATAAAAAGAATGTTAAACATAAAAATGTCTTTATATATATATATATATATATATATATATATATATATATATATATATTAATGCATATGGACAACAGTTTGGAGAAAGTATGTTATTCATTTAATTCCTTAACAAAGCCATACAAAGCTCACACACATAATTATTTGTTCTGATCACTAGTAGAGAGATTTACTTTATATATTTATTTGTTGTGTATTCTTTTCAATGCCTAGCTGTTTTCATTTCAAATAAAACTAACTTCATTCTCGGTCTTTTAATCTAATTCTTTTGTCTGTGTTAGTTTTTGTTGTTGTTACTGTAAGAGGAGACTCTTTACATAATTAAAAAAAAGTCACCTGCGATAAGTAAATAAACTTCATTAATAAATAAATGAACATAATATATCACTTTGTCTCGTTATCAAAACTGTTGTCAAATTTCATCCATTATTTTTTATAAACATTAAAAATATATCGAAGTTTCTTTAAAAGTTTTCACAAAAGCTTCCTTTCTACAATCGAACTTGAATTAAAGGTCATCGAAGAGTTTTTTTTCCTCGCGTTGCAAAAGTGTTTTCTGCTCTTACTTTGGCATAGTTATCGGCGACCGGCGCGGAAATTAAAATCGTCAAGCCGAGTTCAAGTCCCATTCGATTCTGTTTCGTTCACTTCTCGAATATCGCTATGGTTTAAATAGCAGGTGAAACTGGGCTGTCTTGCCTTGGATGGCAACCAGTCTACGAGAAAGAAAACTCTGAATTCAAAACCACCTTGAAAAGTGACTGGCTTCCGCTAGACCAGTGATTCCCAAAGTGGACGGTACTCTTGCGAGCGGTGGAAAGATCCAGGCGTCGGTGCGAAAAAAGTAGTCAGTCAGAGGGTGGTAGTGGCACATCTGAACCATAACACACACACACACACACACACACACACACACACACACACAGAAAGACAGCCAGACGCGCGCGCGCACATACACACACACACACACACACTAAGATGCTAATTTGAGGTCCAATCAAAGGTTAACTATACATTGGAGGCATTAGGGTTGTGTCTATACACTTGGGGCGTTAGGGTTGTGTTTGGCTACGCAAGGGTAAGGGCAACCCACAAAATTTTAAAAAACCACTGCCCTAGACCATCATTTAAAAGCATTGCAAATTAGAAATAGAGATTAACTTCTCTGGTAAAACTCGAATATAGGTATATATATATATATATATATATATATATATATATATATATATTAAGAAATGGACAAAGTCCGACAATTTATTTATTAAAGACATTTTTATGTTTAACGTTCTTTTTATAGATACAAGTATTTAAGTAAATGCTCTGTTTATAATAAACAGTATTAAATAACATTTACCGGCCTGAATGTCCGAGAAATGATTCCTAAAGTGGGCGGTATCACCCCCGGGAGCGGTTGCAAGATGAAGGGTTGCGGTGGGAAAAGAAGTGGACAGCCAGAGGGTGGCAGTGCCACATCTGAACCTACACCGCACACACATTATACCTGAAGTATAAGCCTAAGAAACTATGCGGAAACGAATGAGAAATCCACCGAACAGTCAGCCTCATGAGCCACGTAACAAAACTCATCATCCGTATTCTGATGAATAGAGCGTGCAGCTGAATCAGGCCAAAGATAGGATAGGAACAGTGCGGGTTCTTTAATGACACCAGAACAAGGAAGGCAATATTCATGCTCAGAATGTTATCAGAAAGAGCAATAGAAATGCAGAAGGATGTGTATCTATGTTTCATAGACTAGGCAAAGGCGTTTGACAATGTACGACACAAGGATCTGTTGGAAATATTCAGCAATCTTGATATATTCAGGAAATATATAAAAATAATCAAGAACCTATACTGGCAGTAAAGAGCATACATGCGTATAGAGAAGAGTTCAGCGAATAGACAAAAATAGAAAGGGGCGTAAGGCAAGAATATGACTTCTCACCGGA